TCAATTAATTAGACAAAACCGACACCAATAATAGTGTGTTTTCGAATTTGCGATGATGCAAGAAGCAGTAAAAAGGTAAACACAAAGCTTATAATACAAACATTTTTACTTACTGTATATTTATAAAATTGGAATAAAAAAATAAGTTTGTTTAAAGATATCTCCATTTTTGTATTGTTCAATTACCTCCTTGACCCCCTTAAGGAATCTCATTGCATCTAATTTGAATTTTTTAAAAATAAGTTCTGTTATCGTTCTAAACAGTTGCTCGGTGAATTTTAGCAAGTTTTGAACAAATGTCTTGCTTTGCAGTTAACTGTTTTGAGCGTTTACAGTACTTTATTTTTAATAAATCTTAAATAAAATCAAAGTTAATAATTTAATTATTTAAAAAAGCCGCGTTTTCACTGTCGGTAAAGAAGAAACCTGCATTTAAACAATGTTCACTCTTTTATTGCTGTCCGTAGCCACCAGAGGCGCTAGCGTCGACATTGTGCCAGTTAAGTATAGTCTGGCTAGCGAAACGGCGAACTCCAATAGAATTTGCTGCTTTGCCAAACTTGACGGAAACTCTAATAAACAAGTTAGTGACATTTTTTTTTTCGCTATATGGTCATAGGTAGTATTTTGAAATAGAAAAAAATCCGTCAACATTGCGAAATGATGGATGTAGAGAGGCGTGATTATTCAGAGGCATGATTCTATTGGTTAGAGTCTGAACGACAGCACGCAGTGGCGTGGTTATTGGCGAAACTAGAGATTTTTTTTCTAATAATTTTATTGGTTTATTTCCCTGGTGTTTTCGGTGCTACTGAACCCAAAGACATGGCTGTCATCAGGCGGTGTCAGTTGAGGTGTCATTGAATATTTTTAGGCTACGCCCCTTTTTTCTTCCCCCTTTCGTCTCTACCAAGTTACCACTTGCCAGACTATACGGGGGAATGACTTCTCTCGTAGTTTACTACTATTATATTTCTCTATGGTTTTGTCATATTTTCCTTCACAGGTATCATCAATTGGAATACGTGTTGGAAGCAATTTTCGCCATTCAACATAATGAGTGCGATAAAAACAGGTATCCCCTCCGCAGCAGCTGCACTAGGCTTCACGTTCTTCCTTATGTGTTAGCATTCCAGTTTTTGGTTATAGTTCATTGGTGGTAATAAAGTCAAGTCAATAAAGTCATTGGCCAGTGTGAATAAAAATAAAGCTTTCGCTTTTAGTATTAAGTATTAGCTTTAGCTTTTACTAGGTAGTTTTAGCTTTTGCTATAGCATTTGCCTAAAATGGTGTGAATAACCTTAGCTGAATATTTTAAGCATTCACTTACAAATATTTGCGATTACAGACAAATAGAGTCTTTGTATCTTTCCTTCGGTGACTTTTCCTATTAAAATACTTATCACCATGTAGTGATGGCTTTATCATGGTAAAATCCTAAGGTAAAATCAGTACAATCTGTTGCTCCAATAGGCATTTTTTTTTCTTGGAATGTCACCTCTAGTTTCTGCTTTTTCCCCCAAGGAGTATTCAGCTAAGTATACACTCAACACTTACTTAATCTATACATATACATATATACATACATGGGTATTCTTCGGGTGGAACGACTTTCCTTTCTTACCGGGTAGGTTGGTAATGTTTTATACACCTAATATTCATAAATGCAGCCATTCTGCTGAAGTTTCAAACACAACTACACATTTTCAAGCCAGGTTTCTAACGCTCGAGAAAATGTAAGCTTTTGCTTAATAAATTAAGCATTTGCTTGCGTTTATTCACACCATTTTTAGAAAATGCTAAGCACTTCAGCTTTTGCTTCAATCCTTTTTAGTAAAAGCTAATACTTATTCTTATTCACTGAAAATCTAGCTTTTGCTCCGAAAATATAGGAAAAAGCTTATACTGATTTTTTATTCACACTGCCCATTGTAGAATGTTCAAGCCAAGGTTCACCAGGCTTACAAAAATGTAAGCTTTTCCTTCATATAATTAGGAATTGCTTACTTTTATTCACACCATTTAAAGACAATGCTAAAAACTGTAGCTTTTACTAATTGAATTTTTAGTTAAACTGACACTTATTTTTATTCACTGCAAAGTAAGTATTTGCTGAGAAAATGCAAGATAAAGCTTTCACTAAATTTTTATTCACACTACCCATTATATAATCTGAATCAAAAAAAAGAGAACTTGAAGAATTTGGAAGAAAATGAAGGGAATTCTATTTAAAAAAAAATTGAACATCGACTTATTTTTTTACTTTGCGCTGCTCATTTGTTCAATCCAATTAAAAATTCTGGCGGTTCAGATAAAATGCTACAACTTTTGTATTTACACCTTTTACCTATCACCTGTAATTACGGCTGCAGGTAAGTGTTAAAATATGGTCACTCACCCTGTACACACACAAATTGAAAGGTTAATCGTGTACAAGAAGGAACTCCAAATTTTGTATTTGATTTCTTTGAAATAATTTGATTTTGATCCGATTTGATGTCAACGACAGAGTAAAACATTGGTGCAGCTACATCGAAAACTTATTTCGGGACGAAGGATCGGACATTCCTGAAGAGTATTCACGAGGACTTGATATAACTAAGGAAGAAGTCTAACGCGCCATTCAGTTATTCAATAATAGGAAAGCTGCAGACGGTGTTTACTCACAACTTATTAAGGTGCATCCAGACCGGTGCAACGAACAGTTTGGATAGTTGCGCGCTCAAACCTGCTCGCGCGGGCTCTGTTTTGCGCAGCGCGAAATGTTTTCCATGCGGTATCAGTACATAAACAAAACAATTGTTGCAGCAGTTTGGACGTTATCCGCGCTGTGCGGAATGCTTGTTACAAAACGTTCGCGAAGGTTTTGTGCTGTTTGTTGCACCGGTCTGGATGCACCTTTAAAATCCTAAAAAATGAGGAGTCACCACATGGAATAGTGAAGCTTTTTAATATGGTTTACCGATCTGGCATCATTCCCTCCGCCTGGCTTGTATCAACATTTGTGACGCTTCCGAAGAAAAGTTCTGCAAAAAGATGTAGTGATTATCGGCTTATTAGCTTGATGAGCAACTTTCTCAAGATTTTTGTGAAGATCATCCACAAAGGAATTACGCAAAATGCGAGTCCTTCAAGGGCGAATCCCAGTTTGGGTTTCGTAACGGTTTTGGCACAAGAGAGGCTTTGTTTAGCATCTAAATGCTAGTTCAAAGATGTAGAGATGTTTCTGTTCCTGTATACGCGTGTTTCGTAGACTATCAGAAAGCGTTTGACAAGGTACAACATAAGATGCTTATGAAAATTCTCAAGGATGTAGGCCTAGATGATAGAGACCTCAAGATATTAGCAAATCTCTACTGGAATCAGACTGCACAAATTAAGATAGACCAACAAATGTCATTGAAGTACGGATAAAAAGAGGTGTCTGACAGGGTTGCATCCTTTCACCATTACTTTTTAATATTTATTCGAACAAAATATTTGAAAAAGCATTAGAAAACCGTACTGAGGGAATTTCTATCAACGACGTGAACATTAGCAATCTTCGGTATGCGGATGATATGGTTTTAATCGCTGATTCTCTTAAAGGGTTTCAAGAATTACTTGATCATGGAAAGTGGAGAATTTGGATTAATATTGAACGCCAAACAAACTTAATCGTTGGTGATTAGTAAGAACCAGCTTGGAGGAGGTATTTTTTAGGTACAGAACTAACAGGAGGTTCGTGACAGGATCGATCAAGCCCAAGCATCATTTGTAAAAATAAAGTCAGTGTTGTGTAGTCGAGGTTTCTCAGTTCGCACTCGAGAACTATGTTGCTACGTCTTCAGTATTCTCTATTATGGGATTTGAGCGTGGACTCTGACAGACGCCATGTGTAAAAAGCTAGAGGCTTTTGAAATGTGGACATATATACAATACGGATGTAAAAAATATCTTGGACGGACAAAGTGCACAATGAGAATGTGTTAACAAGAATGTCAAAAGACTTTAAAGTAATGTTTACACTTAAAAAGCAAAAGTTAGAGTACTTTGGACACATACTCAGGAATGACAAATACCTACTTCTCCAACTCATAATCGAGGGAAAAATGAAAGGCAGACGAGGCACTGGACGTTGAAGAATATCTTGGCTAAATAAGTTGCGTCTCTGGTAGGGCGAAACCATGATAAGTCTATTTAGGAAAGTAATCGACATAGTACAGATAGCGCTGATGATTGCCAATGTTCGTAGAAGACAAGTCATTTACAGAAGAAGAAAAATTTCTAATGGCGGTTTTACACCAAACTGACTATAGTTGAGTTGCTGTTTTAAAAAAACAAAAACTCAACTGTTTTTAACGATAAAACTGTTCACACTAAACAGACAAAAATTAGTTGCTGTTGAATTTTTGTTTTCTGTCGTTTACATCAGAGAAAAAGTTGATGAAAATAATAAATAACCTTGCCACGACTACATTAAACCCCTGTATATTGGGAAGAAAAAACATCTGGGTATCATAACCAACATGAGTAGCTTTATAAAGAAGGAAATCCCTATTTACTTGGTCTCAAAAGCTTTTAAAATTTTCACTTATAAGGTTTGTTTGTTTCTGCAGAAATCACAAACCAGTCAGAGTGAATTTCATTGGTTGAAACTAGTTTTCTGACTGTTTCTGACTAGTTTTCTGACTGCTCTGATTGGTTTGCGATTTCTGCAGAAACAGACCTATACTTTTTCCTGACATGATTGACATTAACTAAACAAAACCTTTATAGGGCCCAAACCTGAATACAATAGATAATACCTAATTATCCGATCAAAAATGTAGTGTGACTTGAAATTTTCAGCTTTTTTGAGAATAATCAATTGTGGGGATACATCCAAAGGACAAAATAGGCCTCATTCCATACCTCATTCTAACACTCTTTTCAACCATTAAATCTAAAGCCATCATTCAAACAGCAAAATAATCAAATAATCAAGTGTCATTTAATGAGAAAAAAAAAATCAACATTACCATTATCTCCGCCATCAAGTGAATCTGAAGTTTCCAAACTTCTGAGTTGCGATTCCAGCTCGCAATTCCTTTTGGTCAACATATTGATTTCGTCTTGTAATTTTCTAGTGCCGTCCGGCGATGTTCGTTGTTTTTCCACGTCTTTTTCCGGTTGTCGCTAAAATTACAACAGAAATTATAATCATCATATTTAAAAAAAAATTCTTTGAGCATATTTTATTTCTGTAAAACTAACCTTACCTGATTTTGTTGGTTAGCCGCCTGAGCTATCGACATTATATCGTTTTTTTGATTTTGCTTTTCTGTTATATTGGCTGCAGCTGAAGTTATACAGGCATATAGATTACTTAAATCACATATGTAGCTAAAAAATAGAAGAGTTTGTTAAGATCTAAAAATGATACTTGTATTCAATTTGGTGTACACCAAGCATTCTATATTAGGTACTTGTGAGTACTTTGTAATCATTTCCACAATTATTAATCATGTAAAATTTCCAGTATTTATAATATGTCGAGTGTACAAGGTAACTTTAACTGTTAAAGTATTCGGAACTCATGGAGCGTAAAATGTGGAAACCAATGAAAATTTTTGATAACTTTCAAGTAAATTTGTACAGAAAAGTCCTCACAAGTACTATGCCAAATTCTGAAATCGACTACTCACCTCCCTTGCGTAAATGTAAACCCAATAAATGGTAAATGCAAACCAGTAAAGGCGCTATTGGCAGTAGGCGGAAGAGCGTCCGACAGGCGAATATCTGCGTCGTCTACGTCGAAATTTGAAGTATCCGTCGGACTGGATACTTCAGGTATATACGGAGCGTTGCTGTCTCTGATACCTTCCCAATCCACTCCTTCAAACCATGGATGATTCTAGAAATAAATTATTATTAGTGCATTTTTTGCATTTGTATACAGCGTATCCAGAATAACATAAACTGAACAAGAATATCAAAAGTTATTCCAGTAAAAACCCGTAATAATTTCAGGCAAATTGTTCATTTTACTCTGGATACACTGTATCTGGTTGAAATGTGCAAAATTTCTTACCTTGAAATCCTCAATACCGTTTTGACCTAACCTAAATTCCTGACTGCAAATCAATCGCTTGATGAGATCCTTAGCGGCGTCGGTGACGTCCACGTCCATCGCGAAATCGAAGCAATTTTTGTGGTTCATTATCTTACCGTAAGTTTCGACTAGACTCTCTGCGTAGAATGGCGTCTCGCCAAACAGCATTTCATACATACACACACCTAAAAAAAAAAATCCATGGAATTAACATTTACAGAGTTTGTTTTAAAAAAGAGTTCACAGGGTGTGACTCATAGAATTTATGAACAAGTTCTTGTATCATCCTAATGGTTTTGCTTAAACTTGAAAAAGTTCTGAATTCTTGTTGGAACAAATCTATTACGTATATTGTTATTTGAATATGAGAAGAACTTACCCAAAGACCACCAATCACACTCAGGTCCGTACCTCCCTTGACCATCTTCCATTGCCTGAAAATTGGAGAATTTTTTTAAATATAAAGTATTTTTAGGATTACCGGTATCATAACTTATTGAATAGGTTACAACCAATGACAATATACAAAATTGTGTGTAGTGAAGGTTTCCTTTAGATTATTAGCCCTCTTCACTTACGGAGAATGAAATCACTTTCTGTGTTTGTAACTCATTTTAGCTTTTGCGTCGAAATGAGAAATACAGAAAAACCCATTTTGAGAATCAGGCGCCTCTCCCATGGGTGATTTAAAAATTGGTTTATTAATGTGTGATAATAGGTCATTGGTTATTATTTACAACGATCCAGTTTATGCATGGGGAGAAAAATACTTGTTAAGGCTTCCAAAAAACTACCCTATAAGTTATCCCCAACAGACTAAGAGCTTCAAGGGATTTGAACAGTTATTACATATTTTGCTTCTCAATTATTGTTACTTTTTCTATCTTGGATTTTCAATATATGACCTCAATGGCACGTGCGTGAAATTAGCCCCGATTTCTACCACCAAAACCGATTTTACTTTTCCAAACTAACCTTCACTGACACTATAGTTTATCAGAGCATGCTAATATTATTACATTTACGGTATCCGCCAAAATAAACAGTACCGAAATCTGGAGCTCTGAGTAATTGCGCACGCAAGTCTTCGTCATTATGTATCTTTCAACTCAAGAAACAGCTTTCTTAATAGAACACTATTTCCGGTCATACGGATTCGGAAGGCTCAAGTCTGAAACAAGTCTGAAACAATATATATTTTCAATGATTTGCAGAATCGTTATGAAGCTTTTTTGAGTCGCTATGATGTATTTTTTGAACATATACGCATGATATGTTCAGTACTGTTTATTTCGGCAGATACTGTATTATTTCAATATCAAACAATTGAGGCGTTTCCAATTATTTTCCCGAAATTTTGGATAGCGTATTCAACAGGCACTTACATTTTGGGAGCTTTTTCAACAGGGTGTTCTAGAATACTGCCTCAAATTGGTTTGAAAATCGGTAGAGTAGAGTAAGAGTTGTAATATTGAGAATATTGAAAAACTCAACAAAATATTAACGTACAATTTTGTATTTTTAACAACAAACAGTTGCAATAACAAGGATTTGAAATATTTTGTCTGCATTGTATGTAAAGAAATTTCTCATCAGAGCTGCCTAGATGCCCAAAATTCAGTTTAAAAAATGGGATTTTATGTTTAAAAGGAATGTGAGTGAAAGCATGATAACCAAAAGGCTACTGACTTTGCTTTGCAACAGAAGCTTCACGAATCACAAAAGGAACCTCAAAAGCACCGAAAAGTTTGCACGATAACTGATATGGTTAACTGTATATCATGTTGATAGTTACCAGCAGTTACCTATATTAGAAGTAGACATTTCGTCCTTTTCAGTTCAATATGAAATGTCATAAACTATGGTGATAAAGTAAACTTCTAGGGACCTATAGTTTGGCAAGTGGTAACTTGAGAGAGACGAGAGCGGGAAGAAAAGTGGGGAGTAACCTTAAATATTCACTGACACCACAATTGACACCGCCTGATGACAACCATGTCTTTGGGTTCTATTTCCTTGGTGTTTTTGGTGCCACGAAAACACCAAGGAAATAAACCAATCAAATTTAGAAAAAAAAATCTTTAGTTTCGCCAATAACCACGCCACTTTGCTGTGCTGTTGTTCAGGCTCTAACCAATAGAATCATGCCACTGAATAATCACGCCTCTCCACATCCATCATTTTGCAATGTTGCCAGATTTTTCCCTATTTCAGAATAGGTACTACATACACATGCCCATATTGCAAAAAAGGATTGTGTCACCAACTTGTTTATTATTGTTTCCCTCAAGTTTGACAAAGCAGCAAATTCTATTGCAGTTCGCCGTTCGGCTAGCTAGACTATACAGGTCATCGAAAATGAAACGGCATTGATGAGCACTTTCCAAAACTCACCGGTTTCTGAATCGGTGCAATACCGGTTTAATAGTTTACTCACCAAATCGTTCCAAAATGTACCGACTTTTTACCGGTTGAACCAGATCGTCCGTTCCAAAATTGACTGGAATGATCAGCAATCAGCTGATTGAAACCGGTAAGGCGCCGGATCCACCAGGAATTTTTGTCGGTGTACAGGGTGATCTATTATAAATGTCACCCCCTGCTAACTTTAACATTTGACGTTTTCGACAGAAGTGTCAAATACAAATGTTTAAAGAAATTGTCAAAAGTCTTTAACTAAGTTAGTTTTAGGCATACAGGGTGCGTCAAAAACGTGCAGCAGTGTGAAGTTATATTTTTTTAAATAGAACACCCTGTATATTGTGCGCTTATTTGTTAGTCCCCTTTTACCTGATTTCAATGATATACGGTTTGATATATTTATCTCTCGGTTTATCTTCAATAGTTATAGAGAAAAACGCGAAAATCCCTTGTTAGGTCTATCATGTTATTTTTTCAAAGATAAAATAATAATAATAACTTAAGACACCTGGATTTATTATAATATTTCACCTTGTATATTAATGAATAAAATTTGAACAATCAACTGTTTATAAAAAAAATTCTCGAAAGCTTAAATGGTATAATTTTTCTTTTTTCAATATGAAATCTTGAATGGGGTTCTCATGTTTTTCCCTATAAATATCGAAGATAGACATATCAAATCGTATATCGTTGAAATCAGGTTAAAAGGGACTAACAAATAAGCGCAAAATATGCAGGGTGTTCCATTTAAAAACATAACTGCACACTGCTACATTTTTTTGACACACCCTGTATGTCTAAAACTGACTTAGTTAAAAACTTTCGACAATTTATTGAAACTTTTGTATTTGACATTTTTGTCGAAAATGTCAAATCAAAAAGTTAGAAGGGTGTGACATTTATAATAGATCACCCTGTACACAACATTCACAGTCACAACCAAACTTTAACACACCAAAGCGTTCCAAAATGCATCAGAAAAATCTTGTAATAGGAGTCGAACTTACACCTAACTTTCAGGGCCGGTTTCTTAATGGCGAGTCACCCCCCCCGGGTTGGTTTTCCCCTATGGTTTTAACTCTAGGGTCAACGTGTTAAATTGCAATGTTACCCTGAAGTTACCTTAACCCGAAGGTGACCTGCTATTGAGAACCCGGCCCTAACCGGAATTTTTTGACAGCTACCGGTTTATTTAACCAGTCAATTTATCGGTTAAATTTGGAAAGTGTCCATCTATGGTGTCCAATTTGGGCATTCATATAAAAATAAAACGCTCAAACACGTCAACTTTGTTTTTGAGGGGGACATTTATTAGGCGTATAAACCAACCCTCATCTTTAATAGAAAGTGGGGTTGAGTTGCACCTCGTGTGAAAGGTATTTCGATTCTCTCTACAATGATACCTATACCTATTAGTTTATGGCATTACATTTGATTAGGACGCGCAAAAATTAACTTTTTTCTCCAAACGTCAAAAAAACGTCACTTTGTTAACGCTTGTCAAGATGTCAGAAATTTAATTTCAATGCTGCTAGGCAAATCCAGCGAGTTAATACCTGTCGAGGTGGTAGAAATTTAATTTTTCTCCAAACGTCAAAAAAACGTCACTTTGTTAGCACCTGTCAAGATGTTAGAAATTTAATTTCTATGCTGCTAGGCAACCGCAGCGGCAGTAGAAGTACTTTTAGTGCCGCTGGAGCGGCAGCAAAAGTACTTTTAGTGCCGCTCGTACTTTTACTGCCGCTTAACCATTCAGTTGCCCCCGAGCTTACCCCATTCGTTTGGAGAAAAAATAGCGTGTTGCATACGGAGTAGAAGCACTTTTTTGTGCTTCAGCAGTATTGCAAGTCTCACAACGTTCGGCTCGCAAACCTACTGCTTCAGTACAAAAAAGTAAAGCTTCTACTCCTAATATAACAATATATTATTCTATGCTGCCAGGCAACCGCAGCGGCAGTAAAAGTACGTTTAGTGCCGCTGGAGCGGCAGCAGAGCGGCAGCAAATAGTTATTTATGATATAAGTGCTAAAAGTGACATTTTATTTTGTGAAAAGGGAAGTTTGAACTTTGAACAAAATAAAATCGCTTTTAGCACGAATATTAAATATTATACACTATTTTTTCTCCAAACGTCAAAAAAACGTCACTTTGTTAACCCCTGTCAAGATGTCAGAAATTTGATTTCTATGCTGCTAGGCAAATCCAGCGGGTTAACACCTGTCGAGGTGGTAGAAATTTAATTTCTATGCTGCTAGGCAACCGCAGCAGCAGTAGAAGTACTTTTAGTGCCGCTGGAGCGGCAGCAAAAGTACTTTTAGTGCCGCTTAACCATCCACTTGTCCCCGACCTTACCCCATTCGTTTGGAGAAAAAATAGCGTGTTGCATACGGAGTAGAAGCACAAGTAGAGCTTTTACTCCTAATATAACAATATACTATTTTCTACAAACGCACTAAAAGTGATTACTTTTAGCACTCACTGAACTCATGAAATTATTGAATCTTACTCCTCTGAAGAATAGAAGAAGATTTTTTGATGTTTGTACTCTCTTCAAGGTTCCTAATAATATAATTGACGCTCCGGAACTTCTTGCGGAGGTTGGCTTTCACATTTCTGCTAAAAGTTCGAGAAATAAGAATCTATTTAGCATATTATTTCAACTAATTATGGCACTAATTAGCAAGAAAATATTAGCATTGATTTTTTTAATTGTAGTTACAATGTTTCCAGTAAGCAGGTTAAAGAACTTCTGTATGCTTGATCTTTGGCTTGTTGTTTATTTGTCTTTTTATTGTTTTAATTGTGATGATTTATCAATAATTTTATAATGTGCGTATTTTATTTTGTATTTTAAACCGCCATCTTTTGTTCTTTTGATTTTAATTGATTTCAACTGATTTTAATAGTTGTTTTACTTGTAATATGACATTGGCCGCGTTCACCAGATACAAACGTTGGTAAACGGTTTGCGATTGTTCTGCTGAACGCTACGTTGAATTTGTGTTGAAAC